AGCTGGATTACGCTTCCTTTGTCTATGATTCAGCGAGTGAATCCAGCAAGAAGGTCCTGGATACAGTCCATCATGCAGCACTCCGAATAGCCACCGGAGCATTCCGCACCTCGCCCAGGAGCAGCATTCTTGCTGAGGCGCACGAGCCGCCACTTTCTCTCCGCCGTCAGATGCTGGGGATGCGTTATGCTCTTAAACTACGTCAATTCCCGACGCATCCGACGTACCCGTACGTCTTTTCGCGTCACATTGCTTCATCTGGTAATGGGACGAGTCATCCATTCGGAGCACGCATGAGAGGGTTATTCTCTACATCGAATTTAGCCTTGCGCGGCGTTCGGCGTATCTGGGGAACGCCTTCTCCACCCTGGAGAAACGCCCCGCCGCAGGTAGACCTCTCGCTTTCCGAAGTAAAAAAGGATAGCCTGCTGTCCTATGAAGCACAAACCAGAGCCTTGGAGCATATAGCCTCGTATGATGGTTTTATTTCAGTCTACACAGACGGCTCAAAAACATCCGAGGGAGCGGGCTGCTCTTTTGTCGCTGGTCGGGACACCCGCTCGTTTTCCCTTCCACCCAGCGCCTCGGTGTTTTCCTCAGAGCTAGTCGCCATCGAAAAGGCTCTGTGTTTTATTGAGGTGTCCGACGGTTTTTTCTATTTGATTTTATCAGACTCACTAAGCAGTCTGTTGGCCTTACGACGCACTATGGTTGGAAACGGCCTCACGGATGGCCGTGGGCAATTTCGGAATATATGTATGTTTGGGGTGTCATTCTGTTGGAAATTGATGAAATGTTTTGAATTGGGCAGAAAAAATTATTTAGTTGCGCATTTAGTCTCCATTATTGTACGTGGAATCGGGAGTTTCTGATAGTGGCTTTTTTGGTGCGCCGTCAAAGGTTTAAACAACCGCGCATGTGATAGCATGTGGAGTACCTCCATGACGTTGTAAAACTGGATTATTATATATCAAAATAATCCTTGTTATGTTGGCTATCGAGTGGAGTGACTCTTTTTCCCATGCGTGTTCAAAATCAGGAACGGCATTGCATTCTGTTTGCAGTGTCACCACAGCAATATTTGCAAAATTACGTTTATGTTTCATTGGACATACAAAAAGTTCTCCATCGACCTCCATTGAGCTTTTTGGCAGAATAAATCTCTGTTCAATTCTGCGTAAGGGGAACGTAAAAGCAGACTGCGCACTTGTGCGCAAAATCGTCCGTGAAGCTTCATCTCCCGAGGCGTACCTACCCGTCGCTTCGTTAGCACCAGGCCGGCTCGTCAGTCTTGCAATCGCTTATCCTTATAAATGATGGTAAGAAGCAGGGTTGCGGAGTCGTGGTGACGCCAAATCCGACTCCGACTACGACTCCGACTCCTGACTCGTTGCCATGACTCCGGCCGACTCTGTCTCCGACTCCGGACCCCTGCCAGTGTTTCGGAGTCGTGATGGAGCTGTTCCGATTCGGACCGACTCCGACTTCCACTGCGGGCTCCTGACCGACCCCGACTCCGACTCCGACTCCTGGCTCGTTGCCACGACTCTGGGCGACTCTGACTCCGTCTCCGACTCTGACTCCGACTCTGATTTCGACTCCGCACCCCTCGTAAGAAGTAACTGCTCGCCCCTGAAGCAGTAACTGCTCGCCCCTGCACCTGGAGTATGGATATCGTGCAAACGTGTATGGATATCCTGGAGTATGGATATGGATATCCACCGACAGAGCAGACATACAGACATGCTGTAAACGCCATTACACTGCCAATACCATGGCAAATCAAATGGCTATCTATGGTTTTTGATCATCGTTCTACATTTTCCAAAATCTTGAACTGAATGTTGGCAATTTCTCGTGACTACTTCACGACCATGATGCATGCATTTCTGAAATTGATCTTTTTCAACCAGCCACGTAGTCGTATGATAAAATGAATGTCACCATCGTGTTCTACGCCCAAAAGTACCCATAAAACATGTGTCATGCATGGGCTGCGAAATGGTACCAGTTTTAATTTTCGGGGTTATGTGATTACCTGATTGACCTGACTTTGACCCTGGCCAGTGGCCTATGTTTGACTGACCCCTACATTGATCTGACACTCTTTTAGCACTTATATGAAGAGTTGTGACAGTTGTGACAGTTGTGACAGATTGTTTAGGACCAACTGATGACTGAATTTATTTAGGACCAACTGATGACGATATAATCGAAACGCGAAACGCGAGGCACCGATTGCGAGGTTCTAAAGTCCATGCTACTGAAAGCCCGATTTCAAGCGTTTGACCTGACCTTGACCCGACCTGTGACCTCGAAATTCAGCTTTAAAGTATTCATGTGAATCGTCTCGTCGCGTTCTTCTTTCGTTTGCCGCGCCTCGTGCGTTTCGCTGCGCCTCTTTTTTCACGAGTTATCGGCTGGGGGCGTTGAACGCCCCCCCCCCCCGGCAAACGGCGGATGGGGAAATACCCCAGCAACTGCCGGGTTAATCTGACGCATGTTTTGTCATTTGATCGTCATTTTATTTCTTACTTTTTTGCCCAATCTAAAAAAATCATAAATACTCTTTCTCCAAATTTTTGACCCTTTATGACCAATAGTAAGACACTGTGCGTCACTACGTTGATATTTCTTGCCCTAAAGCATAACAACAATATCCATTCAGTAATAGCAGTATTCAAAACATGTTCAAAATGCCTCGCGATATCGATAACATAACGAAAGACATAGGCGACTTATAACATACTTGCAATGATGACGTCACACACGCGTGACGTGACGTGACCTCGCAATTTCTGAGTTACTGTATGATGCAAGAAAGACACTGGTATACCTATGCAAAGTTTCATCGCAGTCGGTCTACGCATTAACAAGTTATGGGCAAAATATTTTTTCGCGTTGACCCCCGGCCATCCGTGAGGCCGTTTCCAACCATAGTGCGACGGTTTAATCCTGACGACCCGATCATTCAGGACATTTTAACTCGGCTAACTTCGGTGGAACAGTCCGGAAAAACTATCCGGTTTTGCTGGATTCCCAGTCATGTTGGAATCCAAGGCAACGAGCTTGCTGACGCCGCCGCGAGACGCGCTGCCGCAGCGCCCTACACTCGGCGATTTCCTCTGCCTGCCCGGGATTACTATCCCGTCGTACGATCTTCCATGCTCTCGCAGTGGCAGGCAGAGTGGGACTCGCGCGCGAGCAGTAAGCTGAGAGATATCAAGCCAACTCTCGAGCCTTGGTCGTCATCCATGCAAAGTAACAGACATACCGAAGTCGTCTTATGTAGGCTGCGCATCGGCCATACGTATGCCACGCATGGTCATCTCCTCCGCGGAGAAGAGCAGCCCACCTGTCGCAGGTGTACCGTGCCTCTCACTGTCTCTCACGTGCTTTTATCTTGTCCTCTCGCTGAACCGAACCGGACACGCTACCTCGGGCGCATCGCTCCGGGTACCACTATCCGCCGCTTACTGGGTGACGAGTCACCCTGGGTTTTATCCGGCAACATCTTTTCTTTTATCCGTTCGATCAACTTCCAAGTGATTTACTCGACCTGACCCCAATCCAACTAGCCCTCTCTAGTCCTTTCATCTAGTCAGTTGTCTAGGACGACACTTTTGCGCTGTCTTATCTTACCTTGCTATTTTATATCGAGTCTTACTTTCTAGTCTGATTACCGCCAGAGCTTCGTAGCTACCGTTCCCTCCGCGCAATATCCGCTCCTGCGGACCGCAGGGGCTGCTGCACCGGTGCTAATCGCCGTCATCGGTTACTGTCGCCTTATTACCGAGGTGCCGGGGCTGCAACCAGCTGCCGGCAAATGTACGACTTTTTTCGGAAACATATTTATGTAATAAGGTAGCCAAGTACCTACCAGGACGAGCAGAATGATGCTGAGGAACGTTCAACCTTTGTCCATAGCGCCGGTGAGCTATTCTCTAACTATCTCCCGGAGTCACACTGTAAAAAAAGTTTAGCACCCATGTCAAAAACCAGCACCCTATACCTGCTTATTTTAAGCAGGCTAAATGGGTACTAAATTTTAGCACCCTTTTCGAAAAATAGCTCCCTGTACCGGCTTACTTTAAGCACCCTAAATGGCTGCAACCATTTAGGGTGCTTAAAATAAGCCAGCACATGGAGCTATTTTTCGAAAAGGGTGCTAAAATTTAGCACCCAGTTAGCCTGCTTAAAATAAGCAGGTAAAGGGTGCTGGTTTTTGACATGGGTTTTTACAGTGCAGGGTGGCTGCAATTTTTTTTTTGCGCTGCCCTGGCTTGGCCGGACTGACAAAAATGTAAAAAATCAAAAAAAAATCCCGAAATCCGAGGAGAAAAATAGGGGTAGCTCATTTTTTTTTGTTCCTAAGACCCCTAGAGAAAAAACCATTAGCAATGGTCTAATGGTCTAATGGTCTATATGGAAATTGAAACCCTAATGGTCTAATGGTCTAATGGTTTGTAGTGGTCTAATGGTCTGATGGTCCGATGGTCAGATGGGCTAATGGTCTAATGGTCTAATGGTTTCTTATGGGCTAATGGTCTGATGGTCTAATGGTCTAATGTTCTGATGGTCTAATGGGCTAGTGGTCTAATGGTCTAATGGTTTCTTATGGCCTAATGGTTTCTTATGGTCTAATGGTTTCTTATGGTATGATCACCATACCATAAGAAACCATTAGACCATAAGAAACCATTAGGCCATAAGAAACCATTAGACATGTTTTCTGATGGTCTATGGGTTACCAATGGTCTCAATGGTAACAATGGTTTCTGGTGGTATTATATATTACTGTATGCCAACGATAAATTTATTTTCTGGACCGAAGCTCTTAGCCGACTTAGGAACGAGACCATCCCAAAATGTTGGCTTTAGTGCATTCTGGTAATGCATTTTTGACCGTGGTCAATTTGCTTACACCAGTTATTACCACACCCCTCTGGCTAATGTATTTGAATAGGACAGGCATACAGTAACTTGTTAAAACATTCATATGGTGCAAATCCGATCTATTAACATTGGCATTCCACATGGTAATACATGACATAACGGTCCCCGACTCCCCAGCATTCATTTTTCTCTGCCATGTTCGGTCCCATGTATGTACAGGCACGGATCTTTTTCAGCCGTGTATATTTTCACATTTGGAGCCTTGTCTTTTTTTCCAATGAAGGTCTAGGAATTTTGTTTCATTATGAAGCAGGATCATCCTGTGTCTTCTGCCCCTCGCTTCATCATCTGTGTCCGTAGTTAACCTGTAACAAAAGTGCACCTTTACATGGTTGTCTTACTTATTGTTAGTTGATCTTAACATGTTTTTTTTTTACTTTTTTATACTTTTGATTATTTGTTCATAAGTTGAAATTTTTAATTTTCTATAAAAAGGAGAACTGGTAAATGCACAGAATGGCTCACGTAAAACACCTGATTTGAAACTTGAATAACTTCCTTCAGTCTTAATTAAATTGGAAGATATTTTCACACAATGTAGGTGCATATGTTGGGGATTATATTCATCCAATTTTCAGACAAATCCATTCACGTTCAGCTCAGTTGTGCATCTCGACGTGACCCCATCGTTTTTAGTAACTTTCTTGAGGCGCTCGTGGTATGCCAGCATATATTCCCTGCGCATCTCGACGGTGGTCCCTGCAAAGGCGGCGATCTAACCCGACCTTACAGGTTACAACTCCAGAATGCTCGCCGACCACGTCACGTATACCTTCGAGTTCATAAACCCCTATATTAAAAAATCACATGGGGTGAGGTCGGACTTAACTTAACCTGCCCTGGCTATACCCTGGTTACCGCGCTTGCCCAATCTGCTTTGCCGAATCTGCCCTGCCCCAGCCCATCGCGCCCGACCGACCTCACCCCGCGTGACTTTTTCATGTAGGGGTTTGTGGAGTCGAAGGTACTAGGTCGTTCAAAAAGTTCTCGGCCTACCCTACTTCCACACGTCGTACGGAGTTCTCCTTTTGCCCCGAGGTAAAGGCATGTTTTGTGAGTAAAATGTGCTGTTTTCGTTCCTGTGCAATGACTAATGCATGACACCGGTCCTCTGGTTTAATGTTTGCCAGTGCTCTGGCGAGGAACATGATAGATACAATTATAAGAAAGAAAAACTGATTGACCTTTTTCCTCGAATCTATAGCAAAATTAATGAAAAATCACCTTTTTATTTACGTGATATTTCGGCCAACAGACCATTATCAAACGAAAGAAAGAACAATGCACAATTTGTTCTTTCTTTCGTTTGATAATGGTCTGTTGGCCGAAATATCACGTAAATAAAAAGGTGATTTTTCATTAATTTTGCTATAGATTCGAGGAAAAAGGTCAATGTTTTTCTTTCTTATAAATTATAATTATATGGTCCTCTGGTTTAGTTGCAGGTCGGGCGATCAAAAAGTAATATAGAAAATTGAATACAGGGCGGTCATTAACCCGCGCACCGACGGGGGTCTGCGCCAACTTCGCACCGACGGGGGGGGGGCGGATGACCGCCCCCCCCCCTGAGATCTCGAGAACGAAGCAAGATAGCGACAAGCGGTAAACGGCATCGGATACGCACGGCCAAGATCTACAATTTTTACTAAGGTCATTTTCAGGTCAGGTCAAAGATGACGTCACAGGGGTCGAAAAAGTCAAAATGGCGGCGCTAGATATGAAGAGAGTTTTTCTCGAATAACTTTCGAATTAGTCAAGATAGGAACAAACTAAGGGCATCATCGTGATCCTCTCGTCAATCCGCATCGAATGATATATATGTTGACCTCGAAAGGTCAAGGTCAAAGGTTGACCTCAGGTCACGTGACCTCGAGGTCATCATGTATATCATTCGATGTGTCTTGACGAGCTGAACACAATGAGACCATCCACGCGTCTGTATCTTGTTCCTGTACGGAGTTATTGGCCAAAAACCTTTGGTGACCTTTGATGACGTCACATGACCTCACAGCTGCCCAACAGCAAAACAGACCTCAAGGTAGTGAAGGTTGATCGTATATGAAGTCATGTAAAGTATATGGGGCCATTCCGACCCGTTTTAGTGGTAAAAACAGGGAGTTGATTTTTCCCCCATTGACTTATAATGGGGAGGTCGCGAAATTGATCTGACCTTAGGTCACCGATATCAAAATTCCGAGATGAACAAATTGTAGCTACTAATGACCTAATAATATCCTGCGACTTTCAAAGGCCTCCGACATCTACTGTAGCTGTGGCACGGTGACAAAGTTGCAAAAAAGTGACTTGAGGTTGGGTCATTCAAAGTGACCTGGTGACCTGACCTTAAAAGGTAGGAAGTTCAAACTTGCACACCATGTGTAAAATTGATGAGGTTATAGTCATACCAAATTTCGCGGCGCTACGCGCCGCGGTTTTCCCGCTATTCGCGAAAAACCTCAGGGGGGGCGGATATCCGCCCCCCCCCCGTCGGTGCGCGGGTTAAATTTTTGGTAAAGAATGGGAAGCCCCTGACTGAGATTATTGATGAGTTAACCAATGTGTATGGTGACTCATCACCTTCGTACAGCACTATCAAGAAGTGGGCAGCGGACTTCAAGCGGGGCCGGCAGCCTCTTGACGATGATCCACGAGAAGGCCTCCCATTTCCGGCCATCACCGAAGAGAACGTTGACGCTGTGAAAATGCGGATCATGGCTGATCGCAGAATAACTGTTCGGCAGATAGCCGAAGATCTGCGCATTTCATCGGGATCAGTTTTAATCATTATCCACAAAAGGCTTGGTATGAGTAAGGTCTGCAGTAGATGGGTGCCCAGATTGCTGACGACCGTCAGGCGCGCTGACCATAGGGCATGTTCAAATGAGCTTCTTGCGATGCTGGAGGCCGAAGAGCACTTCTTTGATCGCCTAGCCACTGGTGATGAGTCTTGGATGCACCACTACAATCCCGAAACCCAGGCTGAAGCAAAGGAATGGCGTCATCCAGGGTCTCCAAGGCCATGTCGGTAACGAGCGAAGTCTTCTGCCGGCAGGATCATGCTCACTGTGTTCTGGGATGTCCATGGTGTACTGCTGGTTGACTTTCTCGCACACAAGCAGACCATCACAGGTGCTTATTATGCCAAGCTCTTGAAGAAGCTGCGCGCTGCAGTGAAGCAGAAGCGTCGGGGGAAGCTGCGTCGGGGCGTTCTGCTGCTGCACGATAACGCTCCGGTGCACAGGTCTCACGTTGCTCCGGATGCTGTGCAAGAATGCGGCTTCCACCAGCTGAATCACCCACCCCACAGCCCAGATCTCGCCCCAAGCGACTTCTGGTTGTTCCCAGCTATGGAGAAACGACTTCGTGGACAGCGTTTTCACGACGATGAAGAGCTGAAGAGGTCGGTGATACATTGATTTGAAGGAGTTGAGGAAGAGTTCTTCAGCAAGAGCATCTGTATGCTGCAGGACCACTGGGCTCTGGCTGAGGCACGCAAAGGAAACTATGTTGAAGGCCGAGGTGAAATAAAGTTTGTCCCGAAAGTGTATCTGGCCTAGGCCGAGAACTTTTTGAACGACCTAGTATATAACGTGACGTGGTCAGCGAACATTCTGGAGTTGTAAGGTCGGGCTAGATCCGCCTTCCCAGGGATCACCGTGGATCAGATGCGCAACTGCAAGGAAGCCGCGCTGGCATTCCACGAGCGCCTCGAGAAAGTTAGGTACTGAAAACGATGGGATCACGTCAAGATGCACAACTGAGCTGAAAGTGAATGGATTTGTTTGAAAATTGGATGAATACCTAATCCCAAACAAGCACCTACATTGCGTGAAAAAAGCTTCAATTTGAAAGCCTCACGTGAATTTTCATACGGCCTGTAACATATGCACTAGCCACTATGTACCTATATTAGGCACATTAAAGATTACTTACTTCTCAGTTCTGATGGCAATTTTTTGGGGGGTGAGCCTTTGCTTCGTCTCACACCCTTGAATCCGGTTCCAAGGTGTGCAGGTGACTGACCAGTCTGCTCTTCCCCCTCCTCTCGGTTCTCGTGGCGCTTCCTCTCCTGCTGGCGGTGGGTCTCTCGGGTCTCTCTACGACCTCACGGCGACGCTCAGCGTTCCGCAACGCTTTGGCCTCGCGCCGCGCCTGCGCTAGCCCTTTACGGCGATGGCGCTGGGCAACGGCGTTCGCACGTATCCCGAGCCCTTTTGGCCCGCACAGCGAGGCATCTCCAAACGTTCTATACTTCTCACGTTCTATACTTCTCGCGAGAATTTCAAACGTCCAGTACTGGACGTTTGAAATTCTCGCCGACTTGCCTGGCGGCGCAATGTTTGCCCCCCCTAAACTCAAATCCTAGATCCGCCACTGCGTGCGTAAACGCAAAAGTGATCCGGTCAGGCAACATATTGATCAGGGTTTTTAACAAGGACCAGGCTCGGCTCGCCCTGAGCATCACCACCTTCTGTGGCACGGCCGTTACGGCCGCCCCGGCTACCCGCCTAAACACCGTGGCAGGGAGACACCGGTTGGTCACGTGACTCGGAAACAAAAATCAGCTGATAGAGTGGCGGAATCGCCGCGATCAAACACGAATAATTCCGGACGATAGAGCGGCAGTATAGGAGTTATCTTCACAACAGGCAAACATTGCAATGTTTTATCATTCTATGATCAAGAAACGTTCATAAATCATATATTTCTTCGATGATTACTGCCGCAACCGACACGAACATATCGTAGCCAGCGCATAAAGCTGTGCTTTGCGATATTAAATGTAAAGAAAAGCATTCTATATCTTGCTTCAACCTCTACTTACGCTTTTATAATTACGACAGCGACACCATACGGCCTATCGACGCTATGCAACCCCATGTAGTGTCCGGCCGCACTCTGCCGAGTGTGCCGAGATCAGAGGCGGACCATCCGGGGCACGTCCAGCTGCACTGCCCGGTCGCTGGGAGGGCGACACCTAGCGCCGCTCTGGCCGCTCGCTTCCGCGCACAACTTAGCTACCTGGCTACGCCTGTGGGAGGGGAGGAAGAAAACCAACAACAGTCTGATGAGCCAATGGAGTCTACGAGCCCCGCCAATCAGCGCCTTCCGCGCGCAGACGGGAGCTAGAGCTAATCATCTCCTTTCCTGTTTTCGCTGGTCCGCCAGTCACCAGCATCGTTCCGTGCTCTCCATCGTCGCGATTCGGCCGTGTTGTCCCTTGTGCGTCAGCAACGACAATGAGAGAGAGAGAGAGAGAGAGAGAGAGAGAGAGAGAGAGAGAGAGAGAGGGGGGGGGGAGAGAGAGAGAGTCTCGGATCACGCCAGACAAGACAGCCACATGGGTATTATTATTTACTTTCCAGTGATCGCAAGGGTTTAGTTGTTTGGAACCGGGTGTGATCAGTATTCGACGCATTTCTGTGATCTGTATGATAAAACTGAAAAAATAGTGAAAAATATCCACTTTAATTCACATATCGCTTTTGATTCATGGTACGGCTGCTTGATTTTGCTACAGCGTACATAGTACATACACAACCGATCTCGGCATGTTTCTGTTCCAGAACAGCAGCTGCAGTGGACACCAAAAATTCATTCATGTTCTGACAACTTATTCCAAAGATACACATATTTTACGACGAACGTTCCAGAGAAAGTATTTTCTCGCTCACAGATGCTCAGCAGGAAGCGCGCGATTGATTGCAACTAGCACGCTCACGATTTCTAATATAGCGCTGGCCAAAACCTGCCCCTTACATCCAAATATAATAATATTAATTCCAGTCTGTCCTATTTATTATTTATTAGCGCATCGAGAGTGAATGATACCACGGCATAGCCGTCATATTACATAGCACAAATTGCGAGACGACGTCGAGACCCGTATTGGCGTATCCTTCACAGATCCGGGTGTCTCGCCTCCACTCTCAATTAACCCTGGCACACCATCAACCGAGCCACGTCGGCTCCGACCATCTTGATCCCCGCACTGAAATCTGATGGCCGGCCCGTAATTTCATCCTATCCGTCAGCGCGCACTACACCCGAGCTCAGCCTAAAGTGCACTGTGCGGCCTTCTCCGGATGACGCCTCTGAGCATGGCGCTTGACTTGCATCTGGATGCATAGAGCCTCTTGTTCGTGTACGGCCATTATCATTTCAGGAATCGGATGGTCTCGGCGGTGGCGGCGCTGGTCACCGTGGAGCCGTTGAAGACACAGTCAACTCGAGCACCAGCGACCAGTGACCTGTAAAGCAGCGAGTCGCGGCACATCAAGACGACCGTCACGATTCAGTCACGAAGGCCGTTATAGAAGTCACGGCGGCCGTCATATGCCAGCCGGCCCGCGGCGACCATCACATAGCAGTCACGGTGACCGTCACAGGTCACGACGGTCGTCAAATACCACTACGAGCCACGGCGACCACGACTCATAGCTCATGATTAACGTTTCCTGTCGCACACTCAGCTTTAATAACATTACATTAGCCTGTACACACATTTCTCACTCGAGAAATCGAAATCCGAGCCTGAGACCCATCATACGTCACGACACTTGCAGCGGCACCTGCATTAGCAGACATCCCATCCCGGCAACACAAAAAGTTCCCCCGAGCCACCCACCTATAGGTGAGTGGTCCTTATAAGGACGCGGCGACGGGTCACACAATGCCATTACGTCACTGACCTAGTGACGTGGTACGATACAGCATGACCTGTGGTCTGTGGACGCCTTGGTCTGGTCCACACAGTTACTGACCTGGAGATGACGTGATGGTTTCTGGACAATGTGGCTGGATAAACGCGCCTCGTGGCTGGCCATCACAATGCTACTTCCTGCAGGTGACGTTCTACAGCTGGGATCGAACCACTGTCTCCTGAACCACTGCCAGCAATGAACCTGGTGGAAGATAATATGGTCAGAACTCAGAATCCACAAAGCATACCTACGATAGGAACGACAAAGCCAAACACATGAACGCAATGGCAGAATGTTATGCTAAGCTTATCATGTTTCCAAGACTTTTAGTTTCATCGACACATAAGACTGCAATTGTCTACGTTAAACTCATCACATACCTATCTAACAAAGTACTGACTTCCTGAGAAAACACAGAACTTGTTTAATTATCAAGCAGCCTTTGTCTCCGTATTCCTCACACATTGAGCAGACGGTGGATGAGGTGATAACGGTAATTAAGCTCTGTGGAAAAGAGGAAGGAAATGAAGTCCATTTTATGCTAGAGTGTACCAAGCTAACAGAAGAAAGACAATGAAACCTAGCTCTACTGAGGCCATACGTGGAAGAACCCAACAAGGTACTGAAAGCATTCCTCTTCAACGATGATAGAAAAGAGATGGAGCAGAACAAGGATGGACTCTACCAGCTCTGGAGGCTGAGGAGAAAACTGGTGACAGAGGCGGGTGATGAGGAAAGGGCTTAACCAACATCCTAAGCTTATTCTACTAATACCCTCCCACCTGACCTGTGTTTATAGGGCTATCAGTCCTGTGACACTCACCACACCCAGCTATTATGGCCATACTCCTGGGGGAGCTTCGGGCTTCCCACATAGGATAGTTGTCTGTACAACCCGGAGCAGGATTGACCAGGATTGGCCAGAGGGGCAGGGCATGTACTTCATGATCACTACACAAATATAACTTTTTAGATATAATATTTTAATAACTAATCCTTGTCAGCTTTTGTTGATTAATTTTCACAGCATCATTTATTTCTGGTAATTCATTTCTAACGCTCATTGCTGCAAGCTCCAAAGGCACCTAGGTACCTCAATTGCAATGGCCATCCGAAGCAGGGGGTTGATACCTACGCAGAGGAGAAAGAGGATGAAATCGAGAGGGAGAACACCATGGAAGCGCACAAAGAGAGAGCGGATGCACAAAATGAATCTGGGCATTAGGTTTATAAAGACTTGCAGTAGACTACATACTTCGTAGGATTGGTAATTGAGGCATGACAAATCAATAAAACAAATAATGTACGCCTTGCGGAACAAGGGTATGAGGAACAGGAACATGCATGCAGCATGCAACAAACTCTGCCCTGGTGATTTCAATCTCAACTAAACCATAGATCAAAAACTTGAAACAAAATCACCCAGCCTGGCACAGGTAACCTCTCACAATAAAACATCAAAAGTGCTTACCATAATACCACGGGAATGGTGTGACTGAAAAATGCCTAATACCTTGCCTAATCATAATACCACCAAATCCAACAACAATAATCAACAATAATCAACAAAATACACAGAAACCAAAATAAAACTGCAGAGTGTTCTCAATTCGCAAAAGAAACGCCGTTAGACCAATCAAATGCGAGCACTGGCGTTTGCCAGCGAAAGCAGTACAGAAGACTGTGCGCAACTGTGGGTGATAATCATGGTCTGCAGTTTTCAACACCGAATCTCATAAATGCCAGAGGTCATCATGTTTTACGACTTATATCAACAAATAGACAATTGAATTTTGTTTATTATTCATCTTGAAATAGACACCGCCATAGGCTTGTTTTTTAGTAATATTTCGTTAATTTTCATAGTGTAACCTTCAGCAACATGAATGATAATTCATTCTAGGCCAAAAAAATATACTTAACACCTTCTAAATTGCAATTAAATATCCATATCTGGACAGGAAATGAAATTTTGATTTTAATAAAAAAACTTTTGAAAGCAGATGATTGACAGTCTGACCAGGGAGCAATGATTTCGTTCAGAAATGCTGGGTTCTCAAAAATCTAAATTCGAGACTCGGAAGTAAGTTGTCAAAATGCCAGAGGTCATAGAGCTTTAAGCTTTCTGATTTCTTATAGTGTAGACAATTTTGTAAATTTTGGTAAATGTTTTAGACACCGCCATAGGCTAGTTTTTGAAAAATACTACATTTAGTGGAACAGGGTGACCAAGGACACCAATGGCGGCTGTGTATTCAACAGCTATTAAATTCAGTTCTTTACATTTAAAAGGCAACATCATGCACAGATTCTGAAAGATAATTTAAATTTGATGTTTTTGGACCATATTTATAACCCCACATCACTGATATTAGTCGATAATTTGTGGTAGAACAATGGCAGGTCCGGTAGGCTGAGAAGTTCAGCACAATGCTGATTTTGTAATTCAAGGAAACAATTTTTGCCCATGATATTACTTTTTCATTTTTAATTTTAAATTTTAAGAGTAGAAAAATAATGTTGTCCCTGACAAACCCCTAAAACCTTAGAACCATTATTTTCGAAATGGCGGAGTTGGGCAAAAATTTATTTTCGTTGTTACTTTACAGATTTTGATAAGCTGTGCTCTCTGTACCTTAATTCAAAATATATATTTGAATAATGAAACATATTGAAATCTGTTGCATAGTTTTCATTTTTGGACTGAAAAGGTCAGCTGAAAATAGTGGTCAAAATACCTTAGTGTTGAAGCGTCAAACCGGTTTTACCTAGTTCTCTATATACCGTGCACCGTGGCGGGCACTTGCTACTCCCCAGCACTCCAGTACATTGAGGAGGCCGAGATTCAGGCGGAGCTCCGCTCACAAGGAGTAGTAGAGGTGACGCGCCTCCGATCTAAGGGGCCTAACCCAAACCCGCTGCTTAAGCTGAGGTTCCTTGGCCTCGAGTGTCCCCCTGCCGTGTACGCCGGCTACGAGGTCCTGACTGTGAGCCCGTGGGAGGTGAACCCGCGACTCTGCCGGCGCTGCGGACGTTACGGGCACCTCCAATCGACCTGCCGTTCCAAAAAGGCAAACTGTCTCCGCTGTGCCACACTGGGACACAGTTCGGATGAGTGCCAGAGTGAGGAGGTCCAGTGCGCCCACTGTGGCGGCCCTCATCCCGCCTGGGATAAGAAGTGCCCGGCGTGGCACTTCCACAAGGAGAAACTGAACCGGAAGTCGCCCTCCGCCCCTCCACCCCGCCCGGCCGGGCACTCTATCCCGAGCGAGCGTCGATACGCCGACGCCGTCCGGGGGACTAACCCCCGCTGCTCGGGACCTCAGGCTGGACCAGGGCAGCGCTCCGACCCGAATCTGACCCCGCCGCTCAGTACGGCAGTGGAGCTCCCTCGTCCGTCGCACACAGAGTCGACGGAAACTGTCACGGCACCAGTCCCCCAGACTGTCCCCACCCTCGACGAGACGGACACGGTCACAGAGACTCCGAAGGGAGCAGCTCAGCCTCTGGCCGAGGTGCCAACTGAGACCCAGCCAGACCACGTCCACATGACCCCTGCAGCAGAACAAACTGACGCGGTCGCTGTAGCCAAGGCATCTCTCGACGACTCAGAGTCGGTGACCCCTGCCAAGGAGATGCCCATTGAAACCCCTCAGGCTCCGCTTCCCGCAGGCTCCGCGGTCCCAGAGACCCCAGACGTTGCCAGCACGTCTGTTGACTCCGCAGAATCTCTAGATTCTCTTGACTCGCCCAACGATACTGTCGTTGAGGCACAGTTCACACAGGAACTTTTCGAAAGCCTCGTCTCCGCCGACCACCCAAAACCCAGGCCCATGTCTTCTCGAGCACCCTCTCCCGCTCGTATTCGAGAAAGGTCTTCATCTCGCTCCAGCTCTCGCTCCCTTTCGACGGGAAGACGACTTACTCGTTCGCACGCTTATACCCAAGAACACCAGTAAACAAACACACACACGGTAAATGACTCAATTTTCTGAATTCTTTCTCCAATGGAATACGAACTCGTTGGTATCCCATTGGGGGGAATTCAAGAACTATATGTTAAATAAAAAACCGTTACTAGCCGCCATCCAAGAGACCCATTTTAAAGATTCAGATACATATAATTACAATTTCAACATTCGTGATTTCTCTTTATATACAAATAACGTAAATGAAACCCACCGCCGGGGCGGCTCGGCTCTTTACGTTTCAAATAAACTTTTGCATCATGAAATTTTCCTCCGAACTACGCTTAACGCAGTCGGAGTAAAAGTTAAAATTGCACAACTAGACCTCACTGTCCTTTCGATCTACCTTTCACCTAGCCTCCCACTTTCCTGTCCTCTACTCCTAGACCTTTTCTCCCAACTTTCTCCGCCTTTTATAATCATGGGGGACTTCAATGCACACCACCGCACATGGGGGTGCACAGAAACAAACTCGCGCGGAACACAACTTCTTAACGTAATTAACTCACTCGATTTAATACTCATTAACAATCTCACGCCCACATTCACACGCACACGCAATGGAGAGGTCGTACACTCCGTCCTAGATCTCGCCATTACAGACACAAACACCGCGACACTTTTTACACAACACGTTGAAGATGACTCTCTTTTCAGTGACCACTACCCCATACATTATTTACTCAACGTCCCTTCAGGACAGACAAACTTTAATTTTTTGCCAAGGTGGAACTTTAAGAAGGCCGACTGGGCGTCTTTCCAAAAGTATATTGACGAATCATTGTCTACACCTCCACCAGATATAAACACATTTCTTAACGTCATTCTTGCCGCTGCGCATCAAAACATCCCCCATACTGGCCCCCCAAAAGAACATAGAAGAGCTCCCTGGTGGAATGCAGACTGCCAACGCGCCGTAGCCCTTCGGAAACGCGCACTCCGCCAGTTCCACCGCCGCGTGTGCGAAGCAAATGCGGAAGCCTATCGCAAAGCAAAACATGAAGCCTCTTTGATAATTAACCATGCTAAAACCACCGGCTGGCAAAACTTTTCAAATAACTTTAATCGTTTTACTCCTTTGTCCAAAATTTGGTCACTAATAAAATGTTTCTCGGCAAGACGCAGCAACCCTTACAAAATCCCTCATCTTCACATCAACAACACCCACTACACTATCCCTTCAGACGTTGCAACACTCTTCGCACAGCATTACGCGAACATCTCCTCAGCACAACAATACACACCGCAGCTCACCGAAACACTCGCACACGAACTGTCTACACTGAACTTTCACTCAAGCAACCGTGAACTGTACAACACACCATTTACGAACCACGAACTTACACATGCCATCTCGCGGTGTGGCAACACATCAGTAGGACCGGATCAGATTTCTTACTCCTTTTTCAAAAATCTGACTGAATCCGGTCTCAATACCTTTTTGTCTTGCCTAAACTCTCTATGGGAGAACAACAGCTACCCAGAACCCTGGCGCACCAGCACCCTTATACCTATCCTAAAGCCTAGGAAACCACCTTCTAACCCATCTAGCTATCGTCCTATCTCTCTAATTAGTTGTGCCTCTAAAATAATGGAACGTATGGTCAATGGCAGAGCTGGGCGCGTTCCTCGATTTTCGGTAGTGGTTAGCGTTCCTGCGTTCCTCCGGCCGCGGTTAGTGCGTTCCTGGAATAGCGTTCCTCAATTTTTTTCGTTCGGTGCGTTAGCGTTCCTGCGTTCCTGCGTTCCTCCCTCAAAAATACCGCCGGACCACGCGGCGCGGGCCCAACCAAACACGGGGCGAATCGATCACAGAATACCCAGAATGGCGACGTGGGGCCGAAAAGCAACTCGACATCTCTTTTCCGAATCGAATATCTGAAATACGTTTTACCAATATCATCCGTAGGGTTTTCAACAAAAATACGACCTGCCTAAAAACAATAAGTTAAGTTAAAAGATGTATCTTAGTAAAAGTTATCATATTTACTTTGCACATTTAATGCCTGAAACTGAATCGAATAGTAAACATCACCACTAAAAATCTTCACACATTTAATGCCTGAAACCGAATCGAATAGTAAACATCACCACTAAATCTAAGCAAGCCTTCCTCGATTCGACCGACAAGTGGCGCCTCTACCGGCAAACACACGTACTCGAGATTCAAACATTTGACACAGAGGTCATTGGCAGCAATATAATTTTTCGGGTGATTCCGCAAGAACGCAGGAACGCTTCAAAATTTCGGCTGGTGCGTTCCTCTTACTTGCGTTCCTTTGAAAAACTTTGCGTTCCTGTGTTCTTGCGTTCCTAAAAAGGGCGGTGCGTACGTACGGAAGAACGCAGGAACGCACTAAAGGAACGCACTTGCCCAGCTCTGGTCAATGGGCGAATTAGGGCTTACCTAGAAACGAACTCCCTTCTCTCTCCGTTTCAAAATGGCTTTCGTCACGGCCGATCAACTGCAGACAATATAACATACATTGTAGATGATATCCAACGTGGTTTTCAAACAAGAAAATATACCCTAGCTGTCTTTATTGATCTCCAAAACGCATTCGATAAAGTAAATAAAATTGCCCTTCAAATAAAACTTCATAAAAAAGGATTGCGGGGCAGAATGGCCTCATACATTACGAACTTTCTGAGCAACCGAACTTTTAACGTAAGATGCGGCAACACATATTCACCTCCTTTCCG